ATATGGTGCCGACGGTTGTCGATTTTGACCGTGAAAGACCTGCAATTTTACTCTTAAATCTGCACGATAGAAACCTCGACCCATGATTTTTCTGTTGCAAGTTGATCACACTTCTACTTTCTGCATTTTTCTTTGCCGGGCTTTATGCGATGCCTGTATGACGCCTGCTTAGCTGCAGTTGAGACAAAGTGTCATCTAATATCGAAGGTGCACCAGTGGTACAAATCGGGCTTTTGTAAGTCGTGCTTGAATCCATTTGATTGGTATGTCATTGTCCTGGACGTATGTCGTTCACCTGGCCTCCATCCCGATAAATACTTCCCGTGGTTTAGACGCTATATACCTACCTACGCATGCCTTAATACGTCTTCCGAGCCATTGTGCTACATCAGCTTTGGACCCAGCAAAACGCCAACACATTCAAGCACCGTCGACTCCACTCACTGAATCAGCATATTTTAGGCTCTATACCACCTTTCCTGCCCATCTTCGTTTCATCCGTACCAAGGAACCTGTTATCGCTCGCTACATGATCAGATAGTCTAGGTATTGCGTGCTAAACGCAGTGGTGGAACCGTCTTGCGTCGATTTCCGTGTCTTCTTGCTGCACGTGATCTTAGCATGCTTGTTCTCGCTCATACTGCTCGTGGCATTCTTGGGTGCTCCATTCGAGCCATTTTTCTATCGGTCGGTGTCACGTTTCATCGCCATCTACCATTCACATCGCATGTAAGTTGTATGTATGTATATGTGTGTGTGTTTCCCTAGTCACGTACATAGTTGAGAACTCATAAGGCCAAGTCGATTCGGCCGCTTAAAAGACAAATTAAAATTACGAACAATTATAAGGTAATCGACCAGTTTGTGCACGGTATCACGTAATTACACGATACTGATTACTACTGAAAAACCTATTTTTCGATTTGAGCAATTGATTGGCGATGAGTTTTGAACCGGTTGGACGCACGTTCCGCTGTGTGTGAAGTTATTTTTTTTATTCACAAAAAAATCGCAAGTGAAGAATGGAATTTGAAAGTAAATACGAAACAAGAAGACGAAATGTATAGTAGTGCGCCGCGAGCACCATTAGAAGCAAGACGTCATCTAAACTTTGAAGAGAGCGCGCGACGGTTTATCGTACATCGAGGTCGCGCGGACTCCGTCCATTCCGCTACGTAAACTTTTTAAAGGAGTAGGACCAGCAAAACGAGATCCCGATTGAAGTGATTCGACGAGATACGAATCCTACAATCTGAACACATCCAGGGAGTCACCTGGTGGAGTGGATCACTGCCGTGCAGCGGGTGGGCCTAACCGTTTTCTGCATATATATCACGTAGCGCACCACCTTAACCTGCAACGCTCTACAGAAGCGCACAAAATCAATCCGCATAACACAACCACGTCTGCATGGTACTCGCCTTCTTTAGTATACATCCGGTGCTCGTACTAAGCACTGCGCAAATCATCGGGGGAGTGCAAAACGCGGTAAAGAAGGCGTCGGTCGATGTCCTTTCAGCTTGATGGCTGTATCGGAGCTACTTAGCGCTCCTTAACCGAGGAAGTCTTAGGCTTAAAGAGTCTCTTATTTTTTAACAAACTAACAACGACGTAAAGTGGTTCAAGCATACACACTTAACAATCCCGGTTCCAAAGGGATTACGATTTACAGAGTCACACACTAACTAGTCACTACTAGTTAAGCGAGAGTAAACGCCTTGACAAAGATAATGCTCTTACAACACACTACGCCTTGACAAGGCACTGGTGTCCAACGATTCAAAAGGGGAACTGAACTTTATTTATTCTGTAAATACGGTAATAAAACCCTAAACCTTGCCTGGCTGGCTTTTACTTTGCTATCCTATGACAGAAGTCGTATCCCTTATCCCTACTCGATAAGTTGCAGTACTACCGTAAGTACGTGGTACCAAGACTGTACCACTCAGATCCACCGATCTTTACTTGGTGTGAACACACAACATAACCGGTTCAAATAACTGCGTGTAACCCCGTTATAATGACCGACCGCTATGCCGGAATAGGATCAATGCGTATCGGGTCTTCAACGTGGACGAGACTTCATTAACTTCGGAATCCATGACTCACACCGAGTGCTACTAAAGTCACTTGGAAGCTGTGGATGCAAGAGATCAGGCCCAATTTCACAGGTCTGAGGTGTCGGCCGTTAGTCTGGTTTTGCTCTCAATCAACCTCCCTGACGTTCGCCTGGTCAAGGCAGAACTCGCAACGCTCTCAAAAATGACCGCACATGCGTCACATGTACCGAAAGAAATTAGCAATACAAAGATCATAAATGAATGGTTGGCGATCTTTTCTACCGTGATGGAAGCCGAGGGTGATTTGAAAGCCAGTCATTTCGACCTTGGATTACTATTCCACGCACGTGAATATGGGGAAGTTCTGCAAACCTATTTGTCATAACATTTCTACTCATGATCACTTCCTTAATTGTTGTTTGTAAGACAAGTGAACTTCTGGTTTGATCATGTCCTCCTAATGAGCGCCTCTTCAGTAAACGCAACGCACATCTTTCATTTTCTTGATATTGCCGTGTTCAAGCATTTCAAAACAATTATCAGCGAGCGTCTACAGCTTCAAATGTATGAAACGAAGGAAGCTGAGTATGTGGACGGACATCATGCCAGGTAAGATCTGAAGGTAGAACACTTCTGCACCGCAACTACTGGTAACAGCGAGATCGTACCATGTTACTTGGTACGCTAAAGCGGTAAAGTGTCACAAGTAAATTACCCGATTACAAAAGACCGTTTCGCATGTTTACTTTTGAGTGAATCTTACGATCAGCACCATCCCAGGTCAAAAGTCTCATTATTATCACCAGTCCCAAAATCAGCACCAGCCAATAATTAATTTAGTGTAGATCACCTTAAATTTCTTTTAAAAGTGAGCCTTTGACTATCGCGTTAATATAGAAGTGATAGATACTCAGAGAATGCGCTTTGCGAATCGATGCGACGTGCGATGCGTGAGCGAGACATGCGTGGCGACAGGAACATGTGTGGTATGTAACATGATTTATGTGCATGGTTTGGTGAGGAACTGACGCAGAGTCTACCTGTGTGCTGTATGACTTGCGATGTCGAGGATTCCGTAACAAGAGTGGGTAAGGCTTTGGCCCGATGTACGATCCCGCGAAAGAATTAAGGCCATGGAGACGCTGATTGTAGAGGCTTGCTCATGCTGTAACCGTTTATTATGCTGTTTAGGTCCCAAACGATCGGATGGTGCGCTTGATACATTACTGCTGGAATAACACACTCGACCGGCTCGTGGAATAAAGTAGGACTTAATTTATGATGACGTATCGACAACAGTTGTCAAATCTGTAAGATCTAGTGGCTGAGGTAGCTCACAAACTAATTGACGTTATTCATTGCTCTGTACTTGATGAAAGATGTACGCAAGGACGCAGATGCGCTTCGATTTGAATTAGTCTTTGGTGTGCTGGTTGCGCGGGACATGGTCGAGGCTTCAACGTCCAACTAGTCACTTAAAGTAATTTATGCACTACGAGGGCGTGTGAATATCATCTAAAGCTATGCTTACACGGTGTGTGTATGGTGTTTTGTATTTGTTGTCATTGTAGGATTTCTACCAGGATAGCGCGAGCAGTGAGTACGCAATGCCATTTTCAGACTAAGTATCGGGACGTACAAAAGTGATGTCGACAATTTTGTACGTGGGCTTTTGTTAATTTGGGAGATTTAAAAAGGAACGAACCACTAAATAGCACTTTTACTCTTGAACAGAAAATGGCAGAAATACCTAGAATGCTGAGCATGTAATGTTGATACTGGATAAAAGCAATTTGAGCAGAGCAGCTGCAAGTGACAATGTTAACCGGTAACACGCTGGACATTCAATGCTGCATAATTTACGGTGTGTATTGTTTGTTATGTAGGTCCTTGTACGAACTGAAAAAGGGACAGCGGACTCAAGGTCATGTTCTAATGCTTCCTTCTGTATTGCTGGATGATGTAGTGCGCTTACAGCATAGAACGACTAATCGCTGCGAAGTATTGTGCTTAAAGCTGATTGGTCACGCAAATTCTTCGCGTTCGCCAAAATTTGACATTAGTTACCAACCGATAGTGCTTACAAGAAGGACAAGGATAACATAACGTTAACTTCAGCCACAATGTCGTAAATAGCTTTTAAGATACGTGTATTTACTATCGATTTGCTTATCGCAATCAATTCGTTTCACTCTTACTCTTTAGGGGTGCAAATAGGTCTGCTGTATCGTACAAACACAGATGTGAAGCTTTTTCTTTTGCCGAGAAGATGGCTTGGCGATTGCCAGGCACACGTCGGCGTATACATCATTTAGGAGGAAAATGCAGTGCTTTGTAGCTACATCCTTCCGCTCTCTCTTTGTCGAACGAATCTCCTATGGGAATTGACCCTGTGGGCATACTTACGCCTTGCTGTTGCCTCAACTTTTTTTTAACCCTGCCCTGCCACTTCTGATTGAAATAGTAGTCTTTCAAAAACCTGGTTGCAGCAACACCGGAATAGAAAATTTGTCCATGAGCCAATACAGTGGCTCCATAACATGCATCTGAGTTAATCGCCGCCCTTTCGCGTGACATCTTGCTAAATCTTGCTGATATCAAGCACTTAAACTCGTGGCGCTTGTAGCATTGTATTGATCTAATGTTTTGGAGCACAAGTAGTGTGATCTACACTAAATTGATAGTTGGTTGGTGCGGATTTTGGGACTGGTGCTGATAATGAGACTTTTGAACTGGGATGGTGCTGATAGTGAAATTTACTCGTTTACTTTCGCAAAGAAAAAGGGAGTGAATCTAACCATTTGGGAAAGAATCTAACAACTCCCTAAACATGATTCAAGAAAGATTCCCTGAATTCCGGACTACAAACTTTCAATTAATTATAAACTGCTTTATTCCAAACGAATGCGACTACCAAAGTACTTGCAAAGCGCTATACCATCACAAAATTTCTGCGCGGACGGGGAAGTCGTTCAATGATCCGGACGACCACGAGATGGGAGAAGTCATCCCGGACTGGTGTGTGTCCGTATCATCATCAGTGACTCCTTGCTCGCTGGTTGCTTCATTTCCACTTTGCCTTGAAGTATATTTGATGGCGGACGCAGAACTTCTGTCAAGCTTTTCAGCAGTCTCCGGTATCGTCGTCAGTGGACACATTCCATGGTCGGCCCCAATCATATCACACAAGAGATCGATGAACTCGTCCGCACGGCAGTCAGGAGGCTGCATCTTGTTGATTGGCCAGTCATGGAGACGTATTTTGCCTTTCACACCGCTAGGCTCTACTAGCAAGTCGATGCGTCTCCACGGAAGCGCCTGCTGCAGACTGCACAGCATCTCGCGCGGAAACTCCACCTCTTGTTTGTTGTCACAGTCAAACCCTTCAATACTGGAATAATGCGGCGTGCAGCTTGCATCGAGGCCCAGTCCGTGGTTCTCAATAATAATTGAGTGATCAACCTTCGCGTTGAGTCGCTCCACGAATGCTGCGGAAGCAGGGTGGACACAGCCCGCTCCATCAACTTCAGCAAAACCGGAGTGCCGGACATGCCAGCGCCAGTTCAGGTAGCATTCCGTCAAGAAAGTGCTAACATATGGGCTGTGGCTGCGCAAGGAGGCCGAGGGATACGGTACGACCAAGTCACCATCAGTCATAGCTACTAGCGTGCCATGTTTAAAGCGCTTGAGCGAGCGGACAAAATCCGAGGCGGGGTCACTCATAAGTATCAGCAGAGGGCGAGCAGGTTGCGCCTCATTAGCGTCTGTCGTCGCCCACACTTGTTGTTGCTCTTGCTCTACGACCACATCATAAAACACACATCGTTGTTTTGCGTCAGTCAACTGTATCACTGTACATCCCCCCACCCTCACCCAACCATCGTCACAAACAAGACAGGACAACCCACCCACCGTCTAGCAAGAGATCAACTCCTGTCTGTCCATATATCGACCGTGACGCCAGTACTTTGTGCACTCCAAGACGAACCAAGTTCTATACCCAGCCAGCCAGCCAGCCACCACCAACAAAGCAGCAATAAGTCCATTGCGAGAACCTCAAGACGAATGGCACCGCATCCCACCTTTATCGTCGATGGTCCTCTCGCCCGTCTTGAGCCCAAATGTGGTGTACAAAGCGTGACAAAGTCGACGTATGCCACGTGCAAACAGCTCATTGCTTTCATAATCTGCACAATAGCGTACCGCGCATAGAGTCCGCCCAGCGAATGGCCAATGATCGAGAGCTTGTGCGCTCTCACGACAGGACTCACTTCGTACTCAAAAACTGATTCCACCACTTCCTTTGCGAGCCTATTGCCGCCAGTTTCCACGCCCAGTGATGTGTCCTGCTCATTGGCTCGAGACTTGATAAGGAGCAACTGCTGGTGACCGTATTTCGCCAATAGCGCCGTCTCCATGGCGTTCAAATCTGCGGCTGAGCCGTTGTTGCCATGGACGAGCACCACAATGTGCTCTGGTAGGTGCCGTGCATCCTGATCCGCGGAGATCGAGTCACTTGTTGCCATTTAGGTGAGGAGAAGACGGGCTTCTTCTTGTCGTGTATTTCGTTCGGCGTATAAAGCAGCACGAATTCGAAACAGCCGCGATAGGGTGCTCTATAATTAGGGCACACGAGTTGAACCGGCTTACAGTCGCCTCGTTTTAAAGTGGTGCACGATGGTGCTGACTCTATCGAAAGGAGTGAAGTGGACAAGAGCGGGGGGAGGCAAGGAGGGAAAGCGGCGCGGCGGGAGGCAGCTTGCTGCGCTACGACTGACATGATGGCACTGGATTTGGTGATGAAGGTGGAGTTATACAGGATCCGATAGATGGGTTTATCTTACCATGAGCAATGGGTTGCTAGACGCGAGAGTTTACGTCGACCTCGACGTCCATCTCTCGCTTCGGCGAGAACAACTCAGCTGCTTGAACAGGGGAGTCGCGTGCAAGTAGTGGGTGCAAGTACACAGGGCATGGAACAAACAAGTGTGAAAGGCCAGGGGAGAGAAGCGGAGTTGGAACGTCGTCTCCCATGCAGCGACCCATCTTTTCCTCACAAAAGAAAAGTCGCTGCATGCGAGGCGGCGTTCCATCATGGTGCGTCTTCTAGTGTTAGCAGCGGGCAAACGAACGAGAACGAAGGCGACAGTCGATGACAAGTAATAACTTAGCAAATGATTACCAGAAGTAGTTGCAGCCGTCCACCGCCGCTGCTCTCCTCCATTCCTCTCGCTCATCTTACAACCCGTGTCTTCCTTCACTTACGCAGATTTGTAAAAGCGTCGACGGTCGCACAAAGTGAACAGAGTTACTCAACGCTTCCCAATTACTCCGACGCACTCTGTTTGCGCTTGTAGTCCGAGATCGCCGCCTTAATAGCGTCTTCCGCCAACATACTGCAGTGCAGCTTGACCGGCGGCAGCTTCAAGTGCGACGCAATGTCCGTGTTCTTGATATTCAGACACTCGTCCACACTCTTGCCCTTGAGCCACTCAGTGGCCACCGACGAGGACGCAATGGCCGAGCCACAGCCAAACGTCTTGAACTTCGAGTCGACAATCGTGCCGTGCTCGTCCACTTGGATCTGCAGCTTCATCACGTCTCCACAAGCAGGAGCACCGACGAGGCCAGTACCCACGTCCTTGGCGTTCTTGTCCATAGCGCCTACATTACGAGGGTTCTCGTAGTGGTCGATCACATTCTCGTGGTACGTACGCGCCTGCATGAGCGCCGGGGAAACCGCGTACGGTGTCCGTACAGCTGCGAACGTGTTCAGCGAGCGCTTGAGCGCCAAGCGAGGAATCATCTTGTAAAGGATCTGAAGTCTCGAATTCCGATTTGGAAATGATGAGAAATGAAGGGATCCATTCGACACGATGCATCGAGAGAGAAGGTGTGCCACTGACCAATCAAAGTAAGGGCGCAGTCATTCGTGACGAGAAGCAAGAACTGGTTTTGACCAATCAGCGGGGGTGGTGCATGGTCCAGAATTGCGCAGCACTGGAGGTTGCACAATGAGGGGCGACGTTTATAAGGTGCCTTGTCTGAATGACCCTCTTGTTGCTGCGGACTTATTGCGTGTCGATAGAGTGCTGGTCATGAGCCACGAGTTTATTTTTAGCGTCGAGCCACGGTGCTTCAAGTCGCGCAATACTGAGCCAACGGAATGTGACATGCGGTCGTCAGCGACACGAATAGCGTGGCAGCGGTATTTTGGCCGTTAGGAAGCTCGTGTTGCGTTATTTCGATACTTGTGCTTGTTCTTACTGATAAGTGACTACGGCGCTGAATCGCGAGATGTGAAGCGGGATGACGTTGTGGTACCTTTTTTTATGCTGCGTCCAATCAAGCAGTTCCGCCGCGCGTCTCGTGTGTGCTGCTCGTGGAAATGACTCGGAGGATCGTCAGCGAAGGCACGGAGCAAAACCCAGCCGACTAACCGTACGAATACGAGTGTTCATTCAAGTGCAACTGACGCTACACCCGCAGCAGCTGTAGATCCCCACTGCTCGAGTGCAATCGATTGTTGCCCATGTCTTGCAGAAAGTTTGGACTCGGAGAGTGATCGATGGTCCGTCGATGTCTATCTAGTCATGGTTTTGGACTGCGCTCGAGTGTATTTACAAAAGATCATTCCACCCGCATCTGTTTCCGGCCAGAAGTACTCGTCGGCTGGCCGGTAACGCGTACCGATTTTAACTTCGTGTCGCTGCTGCGGCCTCATCAACAAACAAACTAACTTGCACACGGTTAATTTAACCATCGAAATAGACCATGTGAACCACCACGACAAGATCTGCATAATACCAGCTTGCTGCGACATCAAATACACCTGACACCTGCTGCGCTGGATTCCGAGTCACCATGACGACAGCAGTCAGCTCGATGGAATGTCGACCTACATTGAAACCATACTTTCCCTCAAACTACGTCAAGTGTCAGCGTCATCGGCGTAAGTCACAGTCTTCACTTTTGCCCTTTTGTGAGCAAATAGCACCAATAAGTGCTTCATGAACGCTGGGCGTAACAACCGCAAATCACACGAACGCCTGGAGCACCATTCTACCGACCGATCTATCTATCTATCTATCTATCTATCTATCTATCTGGTCACCCTTCTGTCGAACTGCATCGCACCGTACAGCAACTCAAGTTGGGAACTTGCCAGAAAAAGCGCGTATGTGTGTCACGCTTTTCACGATGAAGCGACGTCTCGAACAAACCAGCCGTTCCCCTGTGATTCGTTTGCGACACGATGATCGCTCAGCTCATTGGCTAAAACAAACTGCCCCTTTCATCGACAATCCCACGTCAGTGTTTCGGTATTTACATATTTAGCCACAATTTGACGCTCAACCGAGTGGATCCATCCCACAGTATCAGTAGTAGTAGTAGTAGTAGTAGTAGTAGAATCGTAGTAGTAGTAGTAGTAGTAGTAGAATTGTAGTAGTAGTAGAATCGAGTAGCGTAGCTCTTCAAACCCCGCTCCTTTGTTCAGCTCCTTCAGTATCGTACCTCGACCCGAGCGAGCGTCGCCGCCTTGTGAGACTATTCAAGAGCCGCTCCGTCCGTCGTCATGAGCGACTTGTCGTCCGTCGGCGGTGCACTGGTCGCTGCAGGCGCTTGTATACTGCTGCTCTTTGGGGCGATCGTGATGTGCGCGAGCTGCTGCCAGAAACTGGAAGACGACGACGACGACGACGACAACGTGGCGATCGATTTCGTGGATCTGCGGAATCTGCAGCTGCGCGAGGACCTCGTGGACACGGTACTGGACGCTGAACACAGCGAGTGGCAGTGTCTGGTGTGCGCGCACATGAACCACCCGAATCACGAGCTGTGTCTGCTGTGTGGCACGTCGGCCGAGCTCTCGACGATGGAGGAGACGGTGGAAGATCCGCTCACGCGCACGAGGACGCGACGCTTGGCTCGGAGCACATTCTTGGGGACCGACAGCGGTAAATTGCTGAGTTCCACGCTGCTGGAGAATTTAGTGACCAGTACAGACGTCCATTTCGTGGCCACGGGGCAAGCTGGAGAGACGAAGACGGCAGCTGCCCTGCAGAAAAAAGCAAAGACCATGTCTACTACTTGCAGCGAGTCGTCGTTTGATGACGTTATTCAGGAGTTGGAAGCTACTACAGGCATGAGACAGCGCGCACTGCGGTACAGGAGACTGAACGAGATGCAATTGAACCAGAAGCAGCGAGGAGCAAGTCGAAGGAGATTGTGGCAGCGAGTACGAATGCCAAATGGAGGCTTCGTGTGGGTTCGGACAGTTGAACCTGTATGTCTCCAGGCGGTCTCTGCTAGTCCGGACTCTTTTGTGCAGAAACTACGGAACAGTTCGTTTTTGTCCAAGAACCCACTGGCGAAACACTTGCATGGAGATTTGGCGGAACAGTTACGCCGAAAAAATGCAGCATCGATGGGTTTTTTTACGGAGCTGAATTCTTCAGGTACTGCGGTGGCGTATCGGAAGACGGACTCGATCACGTTGGATGTAGATCCGAAAAGCGATGACGGGGAGCTGTTGGTGGATTTGGAAGGTGCACTGGCGATGACTTGGAGGGAGAAGAAACGGTGGTTCCTCAAGCAGATTACAAATCTTGCCGTACCGTACACCAAATCCATGTTCAAAATAGACGTACGGCGATGCGCTATCTTGGACGACGCGTTGCCGCAGCTGGCTGGAGCTGGAGTCGACATTTCGAGAATGCAGGAGCACCTGAATATCGGTTTTATTGGCGAGCCAGCTTTAGATGCTGGTGGTGTGCTACGCGAGTGGTTTGGACTTGTGTGTAAGGAACTTTTTGGTGCCGAACGAGGCCTCTTTGTTACGACGCATGCAGAAGACTGTAGTTACTGGATTAACCCTGAGTCGGCCAAGTGCGTGCCCGAAGGGCAAGACCACTTGTTGTATTTCAAATTCGCTGGTCGACTGTTGGGCAAGGCTGTTCTGGATGGTCTTATTCTTGAAGTGGGCATATCATTGCCGTTGCTGAAACATCTACTGGGTGTTCCCATCACATTTTCAGACCTGGAATTTCTAGACGAAGAGCTGTACAAGCACTTGAGCTGGGTACGCGACAATGATCATGTGGATGCTTTATGTGTGACGTTTAGCATTCAGACGCCTTCAGGCGAGACTGTAGAGCTGAAACCCGGTGGAAGTAATATTGATGTGACCGACGAGAACAAGATCGATTACTTATCACTAGTGCTGCGCTACCGCATGTTGGACAGCGTGGCTGGGCAGCTCACAGCGTTGCTCAAGGGGTTATACGAGGTCATTCCGAAGTCCCTTCTTACTATTTTCGACTACCAGGAGCTGGACTTCTACCTCAGTGGATTGCCCACGTTGAACGTGACCGATTGGCAAAATAACGCGCACATTCGACATGCAGCCGAGGACAGTGATTCGGAAGGAATCGAGCAAGAGCTGGAGGTGGTTCAGTGGTTTTGGGACGTCTTGGGATCTTTCACCGACGAACAGCGTGCTCGTCTTTTGCAGTTCACTACAGGCTGTTCACGTGTACCTGTAGAGGGCTTTAGAGCACTCACGAGCGCCAGTGGTATCGTATATCCATTTACGCTACAGATGGTTCCCCTAGGAACACCACCGCTTGGGATGTGCCCACGTGCACACACTTGTTTTAACCGCATCGATTTGCCGGTGTATGAGAGTAAAGAAGACCTTCGATCGTATCTATCGCTGGTACGATGCTGTCAATAATGGGTGCCTTTGCTTTTGAGTTTCACCTGCTGACTTGTGTGATTTGTGCAGGTGATTCAAATGGAGATCACGGGCTTCGGGTTCGAGTAAAACAGTCATGGGTAGAGGTTGAAGAGCGAAACATGTAGCTGACGAGTTTGGGCGAGCGATATGCGGATATCGATGGTCAATCATTTTGAAAGCAAGGCATGGTGAGCGGAGTTGATGGCTCTCTCGTCCATCGAATGGTCGGCTCAATTGTGATTGTGCAGCACGCACAGTGTGTGTGTGTGTCCGTGGTGTGACTGCGATGTGGATGAGTGGGTTTGTGCACGACAGCAGTATTGTCATGAACGATCGAGGAAAAGGTGGCTGGAAGAATAGATCGCCGCGTAGCGAATGGTATGAAGGCAAAGACGACGCTGTGGAGCACATGTCTTCAGTACACAACACGTGAATTGATACTTCCATTCGGACTCAGCCTACTTGCTGCTGGTGCAGCTCTTGGTCGAGCGAAGCACTGATGTGAAATTAAGACAAGTCCAGGGCTTGTTGGTATCATTCTCTTCGATGAGGAACCCTTTCGAGGGTGGAAAACTGTGCTCTTCTTCTGTGATGAGCTGCCTGAGTCTACGTGGACAGTGAGCTGCAATGGAGGCATTGACTTTGTACAATCAAAGCGGTTGGGAACGCTGATCCATATGTAGCTGCGCGCTGCTTCGTCTGACTCGTTGCTAGTCTGGACTCATTACGTAGTAAATTAACACGGACATTTTGAAACATTGCTTGCAAGCCACTGCTTTTTCTATAAAGCAATTTTGCAAAGTGATACCAAATACAATATTCAATTATATTGCGCGTCTTTAATTGGGGATTTTCAATTATTGCCCACCTTTGCATTCGCATCTCACACACTCTCCATCAGCAATCGAAACTCAAAGCTGATACCGGTACACCTTCGACGTCCGACACTAACGTAACCAAAAAAGGTCATTTTCTACCGCACCATTACCGGTATTGTATTTCACCACGAGCACATGTCGGATCGCAAGCGCCAGCGGATCAACGCCGACGCCCGTCGTCTCGAGCTCTGTGCGGACGACCTGCGCCAAATTGGCTCGTCGCTCTCCTCCCGTCAGTTCCGCCAGCCTATGGCGCACACGTCGATACCTTTACAGGCGTCCAGGTCCCTCCCCAAGCCACGCAATGCTTTAAAGTCCCAGAGCGCATCTCCTCCCTCTCTGTCGCTCTATTCTATCGTCTCTAGCTCCGTCTACGCAGCGAAAACGAGCGCGTCCGACCATGAAAACACGTGGCAGACGACGCTGCATCGATTGGGACTGGAAATTCTGGAGAAAACGGGGTCGAAAGAGGCGCTGGAGCGCTGCGAGCGGCTCACGCGTCGGTTCGAAGCGCTGTCTGACTCGCTCCGACTCTGTCAGGAGAAGCTGCGACGTGTGGGTAACGACGTGGTGCTGCAGGATCGAGTGGAGAAGCAGCTGGCGCAAGAGGAAGAGGCTTGGGAGCAGCAAATGCAGGTCCGAGAGCAGCGCGTGGCAGAGCGCGAGGTGGAGCTGCAGGCGCTCAAGGAGGAAAATGCTGCCGCTGCTGCTGCTGCTATTGGGCGTGATGAGGAGGAGGAGGAGGTCGAAGAGGGGGAGAGGGACGATGGTGATGGGGACGAGGACGAGCAGGGGCAGATGGCCGAGATTGCAGAGCTGCGAGAAGTGCTGGCGCTGCGTTTGGAAGAGAAGCGGGACATTGAGGCTGCTGTCTCTTCGTTGCAGAGGAAAAAGGCGAGGCAGGGTGCTGTGGCAGCCGAGCAGAAGAACAGGGAACGCGAACAAAGTATCGACGTGCAGGCAGAGGTGGTGGCGGCGGCGGCGGCGAGGGAGCAGGTGCTTCGGGAGTTGATAGAGGAAAAAGAGACGCTGCAGCGAGCGATTATTGCAGCTGATGAGATGGAGGAAAGGACGGATGAGAATGTTCGGGACCTGCCTGCATTGAAAGAAGAGCTGGCAGAGGTGAAGCGAAAGAAAACAGAGATACAGACCTGCGTGGACTCGTTGAGACTGGAGCTGGCTCGACAGAAGAGAAAGATGCGATACATGGTTGATGTACAGCTGTTGACAGCGCGAGACACGAACCCACCCACGCTTCGGGAAGAAGTGGTGTTGCTGCATTTGTTGTATGAGCACGAAGGAGAGATGGGCGTAAACGAGCTGAAGCAGGAAGCCAGCAAGTTGCTTGAAGATCATGGCAGGCCACATGGGAACGGGGTTGTCATCCGTGCACTATACTCGCTAGTGGCGAATGGCTTGGTGCAAATTGATCGGTCGCATGGCAACGGTCTCGTCACGCTATTGCTGGTCTAACATGGCGCGTAAGCGAAGCATATCGATTGTTTGGTTTCGAACTGCGGGCTGTCATCGTTCACTTAACTTGCTGATCCACCACCGCATCTGTTCTCCCGATTAGTAGACTAGACAGTCGCTCGTACTTGAAACACTGAGGAATGTCACGTGGTGTGATCTTATGGACACCAAAGCGAAGTGGTTCGCCATCATCGCGTTTTAAGTGAGACAAGGTGCACATTTGGCACTGTACTTGATTTTACCTGACTTGCAGGTGAAAAGTGACCGGATGATGCCAACGGATGCGATCTGGAAGGCATTACCGAGAAAAACAACGCGCATCGTCGTGGCATCGTTATAGAAGACATCACTGTTAGTGTGGACATCATGTCAAAACGTTGTCACACATAACACCGGTCATGGAATTCCTAGTACATTCCACAAGTTGTACAACGTCTACCGACTTGGCGGTAATCGTCGTCAGATCTTCCGGCTTGACCTGGTCAGCATATGGTCAACCACACGGACTTGCTGAAGTACTTCCAGTAATCGGCACCACGTAACAATCGTCCCAATCCAGCAAGCGAAGATGCACATCACCCTGTGCAGCACCATTGTACTGTCACAATGTTCGACATCTTACCCGACGCGCTCCATCGTACGTGGCAGAGTACATCAATTGTATTTTGCTACCTCCCGACCAAGTTGTCGTTGTTCTACGTTCGTGCTTGAGGAACTCAAAGCCGAAAGTTTCTGCTGGACAAGTTAGTCTCGGACTAGGATGCGGAATCGGTATCGCTTGCTACGGTATAATGAAGCGGATCGGATAAAACTGCTAGCGTGCTCGTTTACAGGTTTTCCGTCGACCGCGACTTCCAGCGTAGGTCGCTCCGTATACGCCACGGATGCTGATGTGGACGCCTGCTTTCAGCGAGAGAACATGTTGAGCGCAACAGACTTCCTTTGAGTAAAATCTCGGCGCGGAGGGATGTTTTGGAGCCTCTGCAAATTTTGACAACACGGACGGTGGGTGGAGACTTGAGAGCTGCTGAGTCCGTGCTAGCCAACGGTGACGTCGAAACTGTGTTTATACTGGTAGCGTACAGTCGTACAGTATGGAATACTGGAAGCACGCAGCTCTGGCGAGCAGCCAAAGAGGAAAAGCTCGGATCCACGCTGCAAGCATTCGCTGTATCCTACGCTGTCTTCGAAATGACCTGAAGCGGAGCATCGCTACGAGACGATTCCGCAAGAGCTGCTCCGATAAAGAATCACCTGCTCCGCCAGATTCTACCACGCGGTCCAGCCGGGTAGTAGACATGTGATGCACTTTTGAGCAAGCTATCTTGAGATAGCGCACACCTTCTGAGCTCCACGGGCATATGAATGCTCTTACCCACTAATTCCAGTCCCCGTCCCATTGCTGACTCTGAACGCGTGCAAAAAACTCATTTGCACTCGATATGAGCATATTGTTACGCAGATAATCCTTGGACACGAACACATATTCAGCCAGCGGTGCCATCCACGGATCGATTGATACTGACACACCTCGTTTAGACCAATTTGGTCAACAGACTATCATACGTGCCATTCCCAAAGACAAGTACCTACGTTCTGGCGAGGCTCCATGGGTATCTCGGGAATTCGATCTCAAGCGACATCTTTGCGTGGGGAGTAGTTGTTTGACCATGCAACATCATCTGCCTCACGAGTTTCCACGTTCCGTCCCTCAGAATGAAACCACACGGGCACGTTTGCATGATGTCGGATCTCCGTCATGTACCGCTCAACTTGTTGCGCAAACGCTACATGCATCAGCTCAGCAATGGTACGGTAGCGCACAATTGTGCGTGACCCCGATTCTAGACTTGAAACAACGTACTACGGACCAAGCGCCCACGTTAAAAAGGTGAGACACGAAAAAAAGTCGGTTGCAAAGTTCCGAGCGACTAGCAATGACGTACCCAAAGGGACGTGCTCCCTTCTTTATCAGCAAATACCAGTGAGCAGTCCACATTAAAATGCCGCAAAGTCGTCATGAATGAACTCGGCATCACCGTCTTTATCCGGGTCAGTCGATGTACTCAGCCATCGACAGCGACCGCCAAGTTGGGAGCAAATCGCCTGAAAACCAAACGAAGGCCACTTGACTTTGCACAATGCACTTGCAAGTAAACTGGAGTTCACGACGGATACGATGCAAGTACCAAGGCGTTCGCAGCGTTTCCGCCTCGGCACTTGTAAGTGGCTAATGACCGTGCCTTCGAGTCCTCTATGGATGCAAAATGAGCTGGTTCTTTGCCATGCCGGCTTTGTCTCGAAAGAGGATTAAACGGACCCTCTGGGTACATCGCGACTTCGTAAACCACGTCGATGGCGGCAGTTCCAACTGCAATCACTTCCATTTGAGCTGTTGACCGGTGCTGCTTCGAAAGGCGCAGGTGATGACAATGTCTGGAGAGAGTGTCGTCGTTTGTATTTGTCGCAAGATTTTAGCTTGCATACTGAAATACACGAACCGGGCACCCTGTTGCGACGTAGAACCGGTCACGCTCACATATTGCAATGTACGATTCGAAACGGCTGTAGGATTTCCCTCAAGCGACAGCATCAGCACTTACAAATTCGTAAAAAAATTCGTCAATGAACCAGTGTAATATGTCCTGCCTGATGTTCACACCGATTTGTCATCAATGGCCTCGATGAAAAAATAGCTGCTGCAAAAAAGGAAGTTCTCCAAAGCTCTGCCTGATAAGAATGACACTGTCCGCAGATCTCGCGTATCCTCAAGTTGGATCGGAAGCTCAGATATCGCAGACCCAATTACTCGAAACGCGTACTTCGAACTCCAGTGGGCACTCCGATCCCATACTACAAAAATGGCATCCAACCGATGTACATTTGGGCGAGATTTTCGTGCAACGTGGCCTCGTGAATAAGCTTCTCGACTTGGCCCTGCACAGAAAGTGGTAGCGTTTCAACCTCCGGCAAGATGCTGCGATGCGCACGTGATACGAGCGGCCGAATTGCATCGCCGAGGTTGTAAGTACCGCGCAGTCGGTCGTCGATGGCCTTGAGCACAAGTCGTGTCTCCATTTTAGTACGTTCGCTGGGGACTTCAGCAACAATCTTTCCTGAGCCACCGCTGCTTTGAGTGGCTTTGCCGCGACGACCCCACTCCACCAGTGGATCGTGGATAAACGACTCCAATACACTTCGAAGTGTCTCCTTGTTGTCGCGAAGTAAGTGCAGCGTCACCTCACTTACACGACGAAAAACACCCTCGTACCCCGTAATCCCAAAAGCGTCAACGATGTTTGGTGTCAAACGGAAAGGCACAATTTCAGGTTTTGCCAACTTGAGTCCCTTGTCGAAAAGGCAGTCAAAGTCTACATGAATGCACTCTCCGTTGGTGCAGTCTATCAGAATATTCTCACAGTGGCGATCGCCGAGGCCGACAATGTGCCCCACCATGGACCAGACGGCTGTTGACCGCGAAAACGCGAGTCGAGCCTCAAACCACGCAGTCGGATCGGCAAAGTTGTTGTAAAACCACTGGTGGAATCTTGGTGTGAAGACCGGCAACGATAAAATCTTGCGCCGATAGTTTTGCGCCATCGCACCAGGGTTGTTTGCGTACTCCTTTTGCATGGTAAGATACTGCTCCTTAATCTCGTGCGTTACCCGCACAGGCTGGATGTAGCCACGTTCTGTTTTGTAGATCTGTCCGATGAGCTGCCGCATGGTCTTCGTGTGTTGCACCCACTCCATCAGCCCACTCTCTTCGTTCAAACACACCACTGCGTACGTGCGCAAGCGGAGTTTGCGTTTGCGACCTTCTTTATCTTTCTGAAGAAGCCGATTGATCATCGAATTGAACTCCATCATGCGCGCATCCTTACGAAGATCGCCGGACTTTTCACGCTTGCACAAGAACGGATACGATACGCCATCGGTACCCAGAATCTCTATGCGTTTAGGCTTCTCCTTTGTCATCATCACGTCCGCTTTGTCACGAAAGCCCTTTATGTAGACTTGCGCGTTTGATGAGAAGGCAACATGAGACTCATCGCGAGGGGCAAGTCCAGTTGCTGGCAGGATTGTGGTCAGAGCCACCTGGGTCGGCACTAGAATTTTGGTCCGAACCCGGCTCAAGCGAATGTGAATCTTGCGTTGACTGTTCCCGGGATCGTGAGCAGCGAGGCTAATAAGTTCTTCCGCCAACCGCATTCCCTCGGCAAAGCTGGCTGCAATGTCTTCCAGACCCTGTGAAATAAAGTTCTGTTGTGCACTAAAAATGATATCGCGCGCGTGCTTTCGCCGCTGAGGGTTCAACGAGAGTGAAAGACCCAATAAAGGCCACATCGCTTGTGTCGGATACGCCGTGGCCACCCGAAGCATGATCTTCTTGACATTACTAACGACAACCGGATTGGGGTGGCATATACGCGACGTCACTTGTGGAAAGCAAACAAGCCACTCATATGCAGGTAATAGCTCGATGGCTTCATCAATGACTATTGTGATATCATCGAGGACCTTTTGCTCAGTAGTGGACGGAGCCTGCGTGACCTGCCTCAATGTCGTATTCGCTACGCTACTTTGGCCAGCGGTGCTTGTATAAAGTGTCTCGCCGTACTCGAACCATAGCGTCAGCAGTCGCGGGAGTGACTGAAACACAAACTTCGTTCCATGCGCCAGAGCGAGCACAAAGTTCTTCATCAGGTTAATCAAGTGGGCGTGAAATACGGAATCAACCAAAAGGTCAGCCACCTCATCGCTGCCCATTGATCCATTTAAAGCATCGGGGTGACTTTCACTGAGCAAATACTCATAGTATTTCGCTAGGAAGAAGTATCCTTTTTCCCACGTCGGATCGAAACGAATGACCGCTTGATATCGTTCAATCACTTTTCTACCTTGCCTCAGACCGGACTCTTGCATCCAGTTTGTCGCTAACAGCAGGTTTCGCGCGCAGAAGTGAGGATCTTCAACATCGAAATCCAGCGTAGATACGTCAACGGCTATCGGCTCGAGAAGTTGCAACGCTTCATACATTCGATCCTGACTCACTAGTAGCTTGGCTTTTTCTATCCGTGCATACTGATTGTTCAGCGCTTCCGCATGCATCACCGCGCTTGCGGCTGTGCGAAAGAAGCCTTCTTTTCTGGTTAAATTTGCATATAGCAGCCAATTTGTTGATACTTCATTTCGAAGTCCTGCCTCTTGCAAAATTACTCGACGAAGCGCCAGTATCGGATCACGGTACTTGAGCTGCGTTGCCATTGCATCGTAGCGCATTTTCCAAGGAGCTTGCTCTTTCCAGAGAAGACTGCGCTGGCCGGGATCATCACATTGCCTTGCTTTTTGCAAAAAGATGAATCCTTGCTCTGCCTCATGCAGGAAATGAAGATCATGTAGGAGGGGATACGCACGTTGGTATGACTCAGCAGATGCCGCTGCGAGGGGTCCCATCACTTCTAGACGTGCTGCTTTCAAATGGCGCTGAAACTCTTCTTGTTGGCCAACATGTAAACTATGTAGCACGCGAACAAGCATCAGCTGCGATACATCAAAACCTTTGAGCCGGGTGCTAGCTGAACCCAGAGAGTGAAGTAGCGGGTTCCGCTTTTCAGCGCTCAGCAATTCGGTAAGGAGCTCCCATCGAGATAGCCGCCACGAGCACTCTAGCGCCAACGGATACATCGTAGCCGTAAATTGCGGTTCTTGTGTAACAATGCCGTTGATATGCTGCAAAGCACTTTCGAGGCGTCCGAGTTGGATCAGACAACCAACCATTCCAGAATACAAAATAGGCTTTATCATCTCTGGATCTTTGTGTGCGTCCGCGTCCGAAATCTGCACAGTAGGTTGCATCATAGCAAGCTGGCTGTAGTGTGGTCTGCTAGTGGGTAATAGTTTCGACGAAAGTGCAGACTGGATTCCCTGGATTGCTTGCTCATAGCAAGCGAGTGCATCTTCCCATTGAGCAAGCTGCTCATGGTCGACAACTTGATGCATTAGACTAGTGAGATTTAATCCCTCTTCTTGAGTCTCGCCTTCCAGATTCGTTCTGATATCGTTGTATCGATTCGCTTCGTACAAGCGACGTAACGAGGCTAAACCGATAAGCGCGTCTGGTTCGTCTACGCTCTTGTACAGCTGCTGAAGAAATAATGCATTTTGTGATATCAACGAAGGATGGACTGGACCCGCCATCTCAACACTACTCCTTTTCTCATTAGCTGACGTGAATTCTTGCTGCCGGAGGTATACTTCGAAATACTGAATTGCCCTAGCATAGGCCTTGACTTTATAAGCCGCACTTGACAGCAGTCTGCTTGGAATTTCTTTTAAAAATTCATCCAGATAATCCTTTTCGTAATCATCCATGTCTGATGGCACATCGCTACGGCCAGAAGCAGCTGTCTGACGACTACCAGCACTGCTGCTAAGGGCAAGTCGCTTCTTTTCGCTTGTCCAGATCCATTCATTTAGCTCGTCGATTGTCGAGAAAATGGTCTGTGAGCACTGATCATGACGATGGTAAGATTCACCAGCAGTTTTCTCTGACACATCACTGGCGCTCATTGATTCATCCGAATGCTCTGAATCAGGTAAGGCCACCAAGAAATCATCCATCAATATTCCACAGTCCTGACCATCCAACACTGCCATAAATTCCTTCTTCAGCTCTTCACCGACTTCAGATCGGCCAGACCGAAGCACATTCTGCACCAGATAAGGCAGCAAAAATCTTGATATCTGAGGGCACGTAGCAAGCGCAGTTTTGCACGCCCAGAAAATCTTTCGCCCGGGCGGCTGAGAAAGCTGGATTAATCTCCGACACCACATCAACAGCCATTCTTCGTACGATGTTCCGTACTTTTCATAAAACGATATACCATCTCGTACATGGTGCAGGCTTCGATCAACACTTGCTGATGATCGGCGATCAGAGCAGCTACTACTGTTGCTGTGTGAAGATCGACCGCCTAAGACCGAATAATTCGTTGACCAATATGGCTCGACAAACTGAAGAACATCTTTCCGCTCGAAACGTCTCTTCATCCACTCAGGCATACAAGCGCCAGTACCTTGTTGCGTCTTATATGATGGACCAAGATTGTTTGTCGACGCTAAGCTTTGCCCACTATGTTGCGGGTCAGCTGTCAAGTCTGCCAAAAACTTCAGCAGTTCCTGAATCGCGAACGCCAAGGAGTCCGTATTCTCAGGTGCTGCCCGAAGCTCATTTACCAACCATGACTCGATGAGCGCACATGCCAAATCTTTCGTTGAATACTCAACACTGTGGCACAACTTCTCTTTGGCTCCTGCACCGTTCTTCTGGGGTCCGCCTGATGTGTAAAACATATTCAGCGGTATGCGGGCACCATCCACTCCACCCAAGGCTCCCAAGCAACGAGCGCAAAGCAGCTTAACAGACTCGTTTCTTTCTGTGCTTGCGAGTTGTAGCACAGACCGCAGCACGGTAGCGATTACACTGTCAATGAAAATGCTTCCTTCGTTCTGCATCAGCACCCCCAGCTCTTCCCCACGTACGACTAGACATCGCAGCAACTGTGTCAGAGCCACTTCACGAACTGCTGTGTCAAGGTGATTAACGTAAGCCGATAGGTTCATCAAATATTCGCTCAAAGATCGACATCTTGGGTCTCCGTAGTCCCTATAAAGCACTACGTAAATATCATCGAGTTCCGGAATGGAAGGTAACAACGGGATCTTTGGAAACGCGTGCTTCAGCTCTGTTTCCTTCTCAATGAACAAATAACGTAAAACATTCTTGGCTGCAACCATGCATTGAGCTTGGACTTCGCCATCATCTCTTAGTGCCATGACTTGCGCACAACCATCACTTGTAGCATGTTTTAGAGACTCGAGATTCCAGCATTGGCTACTGGAAACCGAACTATCTTCGATCAGAATTGCTGACGTCTCGAAGCCAAGGCACGGGAGTAAACTGACAACGATAGAGCTTAGGTTCGACCCCAAAGCTTTCGATGATAGCATCCGGAGAAAATTACCCCACGCTATAATCGCGTGTTCTTGAAGTGCACGTTCAGTAAGGCCAACCTTCAAAGTCGCCATCACTTTGGGAACAAAAGGGTCGACGATCCCTCGACTTTGTGTGCCGTCCGAGTCCAGACGGGAACCACCAACAATTTCCAGCAATTGGTCGATGCTCTTGATGGCCCGAATTTTAGCGGAATTCAAATTCGTGCCGATGATTCGATTCCCTAAGTCCGTCATGAGGGCTAAGAAATACTGCCGAGACATACGAACCTCTACCGGCTGCAAATTTGCATCTTGTCGAATGGATAATGCCTCTTGTGCACCTCCATGCATGTACCTTGCAACCTCTCGTATCGCGCGCTTGGCCATGCGAGATCGAGACCCACCAAGCTCCCACGCCAACAAGTTCATCAGCCGCAACGGTGAATGGGTTATCACGTCACGAATGGTGGAATTTTCCGGTAGGAACTTGAACAAAAACTCCCATTCCGCTAAACGATTTTGGGTCGATACCTGATGAATAATCAGATCTTTTAGTACGTATTCGATGTGATTCAAAAAGAAATCGGTAACGCTTAATAACGGTTCACCATCTGTATCATTTTCGATCACCGCAGTATTTTCTTGCTGCCCGTTATATTCGTCAACAAACGCATGCAGCTTTCGTTCATTTTGTTGAGCAACGTACTTCGGAAGTACGTACGGTGCACTCACGCGCAAAAATACATTTGTAGCAACCTTGCCGCCCATAAATGTACTGAGAAACAGCTTGAGCGTCTGAGTTTTCAGCACCTCATCGACAAGGGGAAAATAGATCAAGTCAGGAAAGTCTACGCATAGTCGTCTCCACGAGACCCGGTGATGCGCAGTAATACGGCAAATCTGGTCGTAAGCCATTCCCGCGCATCGCTCGCGATGTGCAACATGAAACCGGTTCCACCACGATACTAATCGTAAAAGAATCCATATACAATGTTCCGCACGATCTTTTTGTCGTGGGTCAAACTCACAGCCTACAGACCCTGACGTCAGCATAATTGCTGCGACAATCGTATCGTCAGAACTATCATCTGCCACCGTCGTGAATGACTCTAAGCGCTCCGTCAGTCCAGCAAGACCTTTTTTGGCTGGATCTATCATCGCATCGAGAAGACGTGGTTGATGAACAAACGATTCCAGCACTGCTTGATGAGCAGGTACAGACCGGCCTGCAAAGCAGGCCAGGAAGCGCTCCACAAATCGCATCGAGGCCTGATCTTTTCTGTAATCAACTTCACAATGTGTAAGCGCACACGACAGCGCGTTGATTCTTGCAACTTGCACGCTTTCAGTAGCAGTGTTTGCGTCATCGCATATAATCGCCTCAAATAACGCAAGCGAAACTGGCATGATCTGGAAGTTGCTGCAGATATTCTGGCACTGACAACTCTTGGTGCGAGAACGAAGAGCCACATACTTTTTGTCACGCAAGATATTTCCACGGTCCGTGGATGCTTGCGCGTAGGCCATTGCGCATAGCACTGCGCCACACGCTTGTATTACAGACAAAGAAATCGTTTCTGACCCTGTACGTTGAACCTTGTCACGAAAAGTCTCCATGAGGCATACAGTCATTTTTTCCGGAGATGCAAGTGAGCCAGCCACAACAAAGTAGGCTAGCAGAGGAGTCATGGCAAGATAGGAGCATGCAGTCACATGTGCTGATACCTGTTGCGATATGGCCCAACAAACAGCTTTCCACGGAAGAGCGTTACGCCAGGAATCTTCGTCATCAATACTAAGTACCACAGGACGTGACCACACGAAGTAAATAAGAAACGGTCCAAGGAGGACCACAGATTGTTGAAAAGCGCAATCAAGTACAGCATCAGCGCTACGGAGATAATCGTACGATACTTCATCAAGCCCCTCTGACGAAGACATGTCATGGCAGTTCGGACGACGCTGATATAGATCCAAGAAAGTCAGGTACTCCCAGCAATCTGGCACGACGAATGTCTTTTCCTGTTCGGGGCTTCGTGCGAAGATCTGCTGATTCGCTACACTATCAATTACTTTATTCAGCAACTCGCGGTATTTTTCGAGCTCATGGTCAGCGAAATATCGCAGCATGATGATCCATAACTCCAGGTATTCACTTGAAAGCGAAACAAGAGACGGTGCATGGGTGTTCACAATCAGATCGACACGCTGGAGAAGTGTCCGGAATATGACAAAACTTTCCAGCCGAATAAAGGCAAGAATGTAGTGTCGAAGCGGCAAGATCACCCGCAAACTCATCGAAATCGCCACTATGCTTTTCCGATCGTTACTATTGACCGACATGAGGTCTAGTATCCATTGCCCCAGCTGCTCGTGTAGCTCGGTACTGTTCTCGTGGCTCAAATCCGAAAACGGTACTTGATTGTCGAGAGACGCGTCATTTCGCTTTCGTTTTCTTGCTGTGTTAACGCTCTGACTTGGTCCCGCGGCACGATCAGCATTGCTGCTTATTAGCCTCCCCGATATGAAGCGAACCACCTTTGTCAGCATTTCTTTTGTCGACAACATATGATGGACGTCATCGATAATACTGGAAACGAGAGCTGGATCATATATACGTGTGTCGAAACATTCAAGCAGCTCCACATATAATGAGGCAGGTGACGCACCGTTGGGTTGACGAGTGTAAACGCGCAAAATCGAAAGCACCGGCATCCAAAACATCAATTTTACACCACATCTGCTTTCATGAACAGTACCTCGAACAATGTGCATGATCCCTGTTATCCATGTCTCGAATTGTGGCCACAGAGCATCCGTGGCAAAAGAAGAAAGATGAGGGTAGCCTTTGCCGATCAGTTGAAGAATAAAATCCCACGCTTGCGATATTCGCGGGTTCGTTTCGTGAAAATGACTATACTTGAAGTATATCAAGGCCAGATGGACAAAACGTCGTTCTGTAGACATGCTTATCTGCAGCATCGTGTGCAGCAGCCGTAGCGTGCTTCTCGCGACATCCTCTGCGTCTTGACTAGATAGAGCACCGTTCACGCATGTACTCTTAGCGGCATTAACAATTGTCTCATTCTTGTCGACGAAAAGCTTCACGAGCAAACACAGTCGGTCAAAATGGACGTCTCTTTCCAACAGCACGCTGTGTTGACAAATTATCTGATCCACTAGAACCACCGTAGAGTGCCGGAGTGCAACAACCGCTCCATATGAACTGACGTGTATAGACGGCATCAGTTGTTTCAGTTGCTCCCTGCGCTCCTGCAACTCAATAAAGTCTGTGATCGGCATGCACCCGCACAGTATCGGACTGCTTTTCGCCCCTAATGGTCCATCCACGTCTTGATACACGTGTATCGCTGTATCCAGATAACAGGCGATACTCGCTCCACTCAATACAGAATCCGTCAAGTGCTGATCCACGAGCGACTCTTCAAGCAAGAAACAGTCTTCCACCAACTGCACGGTATCACGAAAGAAATGGATAAACCCGTACACGTCGTTTCGCTGCAGAAACAGTACCATCTGGAGCGTCACGAGCCGCACGTTGTGCTGTGCCGGTCGCAGTCGCTCACTTGTGTAGAACGACACCATGTAAAACAGCAATGTAGCCATCGTTGGGTACGACGGGAACCCGGACGACGACGTCAAGCGGTCTCCGCCATGAGCTCCCGACGTCTCGACGTTGCTGCTTTCTGTAAAAAGCGTCATCGAGTGTGGACAGACGTCGCCGCCCAGCAGGAGCAGCAGCAGCTCGCACAGATCCTGCAGCACCGACACTGCACCCGTCGACGATAGCTTGGTCACAGGACGCATGAGCTTAGGCAGGAGTTTCCGTAGCTTGGTCAGCATCGTCTTGCACCGGTAGATTGCGGCGGGCGATCGCGAGTCGTACGCGGGGTCCTCGTGCTGGCTCTGATGGGCTCGCACGAGCTGAAGCAGGCTCCCGACGTCGTTCTTCACCGTCTCGTCCGTAACTGGAGCTGCAACGAGCGTTGCCATGGCACGTCGACTTAGTCCGCGCTTCTTTGAGCGGCAACTTGCGCAATAACTGCTTCGACTACTGAGGTGACCAACACTCTTTTGCAGTTGTGTGCTTTTTATAGAAAGCAAGGTGTGGTGAGGTGGTGTGGCGCACATCACCTGGCGAACGCCAAGCGATTGAAAGTGGCGGCCACTTGTGGTATTTTAAACATGGCGACCAGGGGCGTATGGCAGCTCAGCAAGGTGACGATCCGGTACTGTCAACACGGCGGAAGTAGTCGCTACGTTCGGCATTTGCTGAGCGACCAGCGCTTTCTTCAGTTTGTCGAGGAGAATCCGCAGGTGCAATTTGAGACGGAGCTAAAAGGTGCTCGCCACCCGATCGTCATTGGAGATTACGGTGCGTGCAGCAGGCGCAGGAATGGCTGCAGATTGCGTCTAATCCTTGGGTGCTTTTGACACGGACGACATATTGCAGTGACCAATGAGCGCAAAGTTTCGGATCTCAAGAATCAGGACATTCCCTTCATTATGAAGCAGGTGCGGCTTGTGCTTCGAGTGGAGTCCTGGTCAGGAATTGCAGAGTTGTGTAGCCGTGGAGTTTATGACGGTTTGGACTGACTGCCCTGTCCTCTTGTTTCACTACTACTGCCTTGCGACTTTTTCGTGTCTTTCAGCTGGAGCGCCTTCGCAACTCTAGCGGTCGCAAGATGACGCCTATGAAGAAGCCGGTTATCTCGAAGCGTCCGACCATTCAGGGAATCTGGCAGCCGGACCTCGTTTTCCCGGAGTTTAAGATCAGCGATCGCAGTTAGAGCTTGGTGCTGCCATTGTGCAGGGTAGAACTAGTGCTCTAGCTACGTTCCTCGCTCGTGTCGCACGTGGAAGCGACAATTACTAGGGGAGACTGCAGCTGTAGTATTGCTCGAAGCCTTTTCGATGAGTAAAAACATCGAATATATTTCTCAAACTGTCGCCTAGAGATAGACAGGAAGGTTCAGGTTCTCCTCGTCCGACTGTCTCAAGCGTAAGCGTCATCGACCTGCAGCAACTAGAGGTGCGTCAATAGCGCTGCACCAGCCTAGAAACCGTGCAGCACCACTTGGGCATCCATGCAGATCTCCTGGTCCAGCAGAAACTCGCGAATATTCGTCCGCTGGTCGCCTGAAAGCTGGATAATCTCACCCAACTCATCGTCCTTGACGATAGCGCCGTTGCAGCTGAAGTTTTTTTTGAAGGCCTTGAGGATACGCTTCACGTCCAGATCGTCAGCCAAGCCTTGCACTGTCGTCAGACACTTGCGACCATTGCGCTGCTGCACTCGCACGTGCACTTTGCCACCGCCGATACTCGAGTCGTCCTTCGCATCAGCAAAGGCGTCTACAGGAGCAAAAAGACAGAGCAAACGCAACAACACGTCGTCTTAGTGCCCCGCGTCTCTATCATGTTGATACATTTGCAGTCGCCACGCACCAAACGTCTGGAAGTTCTGGATGTCTGCCATATCGCTGAATTCGCTTCTATGTGGCCAGGTTTTCCCGCGTTGTGTTATTTGCGAACTGTCATTGGCTGAAACGCTCTGTCAGCCACTCAGACGCACATAATTTCCAGTCACACTCGATTGGGTGGTAGGCAGATCACATACGAAAAGATGCACATTACAAAATGAGGAGTCGTGGTCGCCGCATTTGTGCCATCCGATCCCTTCAGCTTGCATGAGACCGAAGACTTCTAGCTATTTGTACAATTCTGCATTCAGTTCGTGCTTCCAATACCAAACACATCACTATGCTGCCATACAGACGCTGCAGCTGCATGGCTCAGACTTTGTGTTGTGGAGTGTACGAACGCTGCGTTGAAGCTAGCTACTTAGGCAGCTACGCTGAGGAGATGGCAGCATGCTTGCTGCATCTAAAGTACTGCAACCTGGTACTACTAGAGTCCAGGCGATCGCTGCCACGATGGACGCGTCTTACTATGAAGCCATCTCCGATCAGAGATGCACAAAAAATTGTTGGTAGATTTCGAAACTTCCTAGATATCACCGACGCTGTCTAGGCGCGTGGAAGCGTCACGTGTAATCAGAGCAACTTTGCTAGCAGCTGCAAGTGCGTCAAGGTAGTCGCTTGGATAAAAATTGGCTGCTTTCGATGTCCTGGAGTAAATCCGTTGGAAGTTTATGCATGAGTTTAGAAACTGAAGTAGGAGTATGTACTCTACGATAATAGTGTACCCACGATATCGCAAACCTGGTTGTTGTTGCAGACCAGCAATGCTCGTAGCGCTTCGACCACTCACACCACCGCTGGTCGCCAAGTAATCAACTTGACATGGTTTTGCGTGTGAGTGACTCACTCGTGGACTTTGCTATAGGTCGAATTCGTTGTTATTATACGTACGATTTCAACTATGGTTTGTGATGTGTGACAAGTTTTTCGGCTGCTGGCCGGGTCATAATCACCACTTCTAATGCCTGTGAGACCCAATACGTTATGCATTGGGGCGGGCCTCAAACCAGCAATCATTGCCTTCGTGGACATTGCTGCGGTTATTCTTCGGACTTGCTCGTCACCTATCGAAAGAAAGGGAAAGGTGTAGTGCAGCGGTCAATAGTGTTTCAGTGCACCTGTAATTTGTTTTGACCAATCAAAATATGACATTCAAATCGTAATGTGTTGAACCCAATCTAATTCTGGTGTTACGATCCCAATTTTGGTAAACCTATCTTTCGTCTTATCTTTATAAATTATTATTAAAATGCTCCAGATAATTAAAGAATAAAACTGCCTTACGTCCTAGTAAACTCAAGTTAATTTGCATAGATTTATCGACATTGCGTAATAATGAAGGACTTAACCTTTTTCATAATCACCATTTACACAAAAGAGGCCTATATGAAACGAGGTGAGTCTCTAACATTTAATTAACCCTTGATACTCGTTACTTTAAAACTTTATCAGCAAAGCTGGTTATGTTTTTTATTAAGCATTATTAAATGGGGTTACATTTAAAAACACTTGTCCATTGGCTGCTATGGGTCATCAAATGAGTAAGCTCTGGCGGTCCAATCAACGATGGACGCGCGCAAGGAGTGTTGAAAAAAAATTTCGCATACGTTTTTGTAGATACGTATAATCAAATTGAGACTAAAAATAGATGATAGGACTATATCGTATTTAATACAGTTTCACTCTTACCCGCGATAAGTCAGTTCCTAGTTCTTTTCCCTTCATCTGCGTAGTTTACAGAGGTAGCGACGCACCACTCACACTGCTGTCGGTGAGAGTAGCTACACACTGGTTTTCCAGTGTGTTGCTGCGGAGCCCCATTAGACCTGTTAGCACTTTGTGTCCGTCCGAGGACCACAAAACCCGTTCAACATGAGCATGTTAGACGATGAAGGCGAAGACACCTTGCACGGCACCTGTGACAGTTACTATATTTTGATTGATGTCGAATAGAGTGCGATTGAACGAATGAGTTCGACCGTTAACGAAGAAGCTGTCTGGTCTCTGTCATCCTAAGGAATAATGGACCAGCAACATTTCGTAATCGCCAAGTTCTAACAACGAGAACTTGATGCGTCACGAGCTGAAGTAATCCTGCTGCATCAGCACGGTCACCAGCAGACTGAGCCCCTGATACATCAACAGTCTCAGTCTGCTTCTGCACTGTCACAGTGAGCGTCGACGCAAGACTCAATAGTTAGAAGCCTCCAAGTATCGGGGAGTTTATTAATACCCCTTGTTGAAAGGTTTTAATGAAGTGGACGATGCCATAAAGCTGGTCACATCGACAATGATAAAAAACAAGTCGCATTTGCCAAATCAAATCTATCAGGGTGTGCCAGAACTTGGGCCCTAAATCTTCTATACCACGATTTTAACGTGTTTAGATCGTTGGCGGTCTTCAAGACTCTGCTCAGCCAAACATTTAAGCTGCCAAGGGCTGAGCTAAAGACTACGTCAGAGCTTTTAAAGATAAAACAAGGTGAGTGTGACGTTCATGCTTACGCTCAGCACGTTAGTCACCTATCAAGTTGTATGGTAGCAAACCTTGTACGCAAATTCGTGTTGACCACCATACTCTTACAAGGCCTCACAGGTGGTCCCGTGAGGAACCACCTATTCTGCATCGAGTTAAATTCGTTTGAGGAAGCGATAAAAACTGCAGTGCAAGAGGAATTTCATGTGAGACAAGTTCACACCCCCTATCTTACTTCAAGACGATTAGAGGCTGGAGTTCTAGAATAGGTGTACATCTGCAGTGCTGAGAGCGAGAGAATCTGCTCTTCAAACAGTAAGCGATTGTAAAAGTGGAACGCTGTCAGAAGTTGGGTCACTGCGCCCAAGATTGTGGTGCTTCACGCCCAGCGTATCGAAACAATGAGCGAAGTTATCGAACGTCTTTAAGAAGGGCAACGGACGCGGGTCCGACGCTGTTTCAAAGTCACAACAGCGTAGCGGAATGTCAAAAAGGTTCGGGGTAGGTAGGTGTGGAGCGCCCTACTACTCCAGCAACCTCAATATAATTTGCAAACCTACTAATGAAAGTTGCTCCAGATTTACAAACCGTGTGTGTCTCTGCACTTGATGATGATGTACCCCTTGTCACCTTAAATGTGGCAAAAGAATCTTCACGTCATGTCGTAATGGAATGTGGGTTGTTGAAATTTGTCGTTCGTCGCCAGTCGCTAGAGGATAGTAGGCTCAAGCTCGTTGAGCGAGAAATATCTATTACAAAGCTGACGGTCCGTTCATCAACGGGCACATGGATAAAATTTATGAAAGCTTGTTGTGACTTCACCATACGCTAAAAGAGCTGCAGTACGATGATAATTTCGTCGTACTGGATTTGGATGACAATTTTATGTCATCACAGGGTTATCCTAGCTCAGAAGGTACGAGCCAAGGGTCAGCTGGCAGCACCGGACCGTGAAGACGCCTGCCACTTGTTCATCAAATGACTATCTAATAAAGTCTCATGCGCCCACAAAAGCGTGTGGGTGTACTACGAGAGAGTGTGATGGCCTCAATTGTGGCACGGTCGTTAGCCACAATACATGAGATCACAGCGTGACAACCGATCACACTATGGAGGACGCTACCGGAAGCTGTGCGGATGCACGATCAGCTCCGAAGATCAATCACTCGAAAAAGTCGAGTATATATCGGGACATGCGTGTGCGCCTAGCGGGCAACATGCAATGAAGAATATACCGTTTGACCTTACAGGGCAACATGATGATCCTAGATTGGCTGGGAGGGGTCGATCGTTGAGGACCTGGATGTTTTAGCGAACCACAGCTAGAAGGCGTCGAGGAAATGAGTCTCCACGTACATGAGGAAGAAACTCCTCAGGCAGTTATTGATGGTGTAACTAGACCTCATCAACCTGAGGTGATATATCCCCAGCAGCCTGTAGAAAGGGTATCAAAGAAGAAATTGAGACCTGGAACGTATTAGTAAATGACGGGGTGAATATAGGCGCTCATACACTTGATCTGATGGCGTATCCGAAGTAGATTTTGAGATTACTCACTCGCCAACGCTAGATCCGCAACGGTTTTTGCGATATCTGTGGGGTGGCAAGGTCAGGCATCTGTGAGACCATCTCGGAGGACGAGTACCGACCGATATTCGGTCGTCAGTGGCTTTTGCTGAGAGCGAACGTGTTTCAGCAGCTCATCGATGGACGAGAGTGACCTCAAGGAGAAGACTTAAATTGATCAAGGACGTCTCGATCTTAAGATTTGGTACAGGCACTTCCTTTTATAAACATTTGTTCGAATTTAAAGATGTGCCCCTGAAATCCA